CATTTATTTTGAGGTATTGCCTTATTTAACATAGTTACCTAAATTTTCAGGAAACATGATGTCCTATGACAAAATGTAGGTCGTTTTCAGATTCAGCATACCAAAAAACATAAAGATTACGTGGAATAACCAAAACAGCTATCAAAAAATTTTTTTTTGCAGACCTTATTTATAGCTGAAACAGATGATCTTATGAAGACAAGCTTTAACAAACTGGATTTTCAATTTTAAACAAGTTTAGTCAAGCTAGATAATATATTATTAATTTATGTAATCCATTCACAGAGATATACTTTAAAAAAGATTATTTTTCTCTGTTTGCAAATAGCAGAAACAATGGATCTAGTATATGGTATGATTTAGGCAGAACGTTAAAACACAATTGTGCAATTTTTGGGGATTTGGCATAGAGCTGTGCAGTAGAACATAAAGAGAGTTTCGAAATTATACTAATATGTGTAACCACCTCTAAAAGCTCTTCCTACCTTACACTCCCAATAAAAGAGTGAAATTCAAGACCTAAAATGATGTTTTTCATCTGATTGACGGGTAAAAGAAACCTGAACCAAACAAGTAAGAATCCAAAATCACATTCAAAAACAAAAAACATTTCACTCATAAATCCTTGGTCTTGGCAAATGACTACATTAAACATTACCTCTTGAGCTAGCACTATTTTTAGAGACATGAAAAATGGCTTTGTAATATCCTCCCAAAGATCCAGAATGCAGGTAATGTGTTCCATAAAGTTCAATTAGTCGGTGATATGCATTATATTCATAGAAGGAGGGCAGTCTAGAAAGCTCTTTCCAGAAGGGCTCTGCCAGGTTTAAAAACGTGGGTTGATTATTGAGGAATTGTGCAACTTCCACTGAATTTTCAATCACCATAAGATAGTTACTCTGGAAAGATAAGACATAAATCAGGCAGCTCATTTCACAAGCATAACGAGAGGCTGGACATGGAAACCAGAAGGCTCAGTGGTTAAACACTGAGCTTGTCAATCAGAAAAGCCAGCAGTTCGGCGGTTCAAATCCTTAGCACCACATAATGGAGTGAGCTCCCGTGACTTGTCCCAGCTTCTGCCAACCTAGCAGTTCGAAAGTATGTAAAAATGCAACTAGAGAAAATAGGAACCACCTTTGGTGGGAAGGGAACAGCATTCCATGTGCCTTCGGCATTTAGTCATGCTGGCCACATGATCATGAAGTCATCTTCCAGCAGCGCTGGCTCTTCAGCTTTGAAACAAGATGAGCACTGAGTCGGGAACGACTAGCACATATGTGCGAGGGGAACCTTTGCTTTAACGTTATCCATTGTATGTACCATACTTGGGTCATTATTCCAACCTTCACTCTTCAAAATCAATTATCAGAACCCCCTACCCAGCAAGTGGTATTCAGAAATATACAAACAGGGTCTTGTACATAGAACTTTGAAGTTTACAGGCAAATATCTGCATTTGTCTCAGTTTAGTCATATAATACTCACCTCAGCCTATCAATGGCTTAAAATAGATCTCTCCTCTCCTCTGCCCTGCCCTGCCCCCCCTTTCCTTCTCATTCCTCGCATCTGATTTCCTTTCTCTCTACCTGATCTTTCAGTGATTAATACCAAAAGTTCACACTCTTGGTTTGATGTCAGTTGTTGCTATATTGTATGTTATTGTTAAAGTGATAAGAGTACAGTTTGGGAAAATCTTTTTAGCTTTTATTAAACATACTTAGTATATTTCTACAGCAGCAAGTTCAAACATGATCGCCTCAACCATTTTGGACTCATCCTCAACATCAAGAAAACTGAGTTCATCAAGATTGTTACCACCCCTGGAACATTTCAGATCAGTGGGGAAAACCTAAAGAAGGTGGACATTTTTCGGTATCTGGGATCCCATCTCTAAGGCAATGGTGACATCAATGGTGAGCTGTGATCAAGGGCGAATGCAGCCTTGGATGCATTGGTGAGAACTCACTGGTGTGTTATGTGACAGGCGAATGCCAACCTGTCTTAAATCTAAGATTTACAAGACAACCATTCACCCTGTTGAACTGTATGGCACTGAATGCCAGGGACCGAAAGCTATCTCCGTGCCATGAAAATGCAAATGCTCCATTGGATATTAGATATCTTCCTTCTTGACCACATTACAAATGACACCATTAGACAACATTTTGGTGTGGCACCAATTATAGAGAAGTTGAGAAAAGACCAACTCCGCCGGTACGGACATGTCCAAAGAGCAGCACTTTCCACCATGGTCGTGACTGCCTAACAACTAGAAGTTAATGGCCGGTGACCTTGGAGGCATCCAAAACAGAGATGTCAACAAAGATATAGAAGTCATGGCCCTGCATCCTGGAGACACAGCTGACCGTGGAAAGTGACATTCAATGATCAAAAAGCAGACCCAGCACCTACGGGAATATGCTAGATAGAAGAAGAATTGGTATGTTTCTTTTTCAAGTACTGTATTTTTCAGAGCATAAGACGTATAAGTATAAGAAGCACCAAGATTTTGAAGAGGCAAATTAAAAAAAAAGTTTTTTCATTCTGCAAACCTCCCCAAAATGGCCTGTTTTTCGCAAAAACAAACCTGTTTTTTGTAAAAAAAAAAGAAAGAAAAGAAAGAAAGAAAGAAAGAAAGAAAGAAAGAAAGAAAGAAAGAAAGCCTTTGATCCATACAAGAAGCTATCTGTTCTGACCCAGGCTTCCTTAAACAGCAAGAAGCAGAGCCTTGGTCCTGCCCAAACGCCTTTTAGTTACATGACTGTGTATTCCTTTCATTCACAGTCCGCAAGGCTTAGCAAACAGTCTTTCAGAAGAATGTTTATCAAATATGAACCTTATCTCATTTGGCAAGCTGCCAAATAACTAGTTTCCAAATGCAAGGCAAGGCCAAACTTGGCACAGAGCAGGGACGTGCAGTCAGGGGAGGCAGGAGAGGCAGAGCCTCATCACTGTCATCATGAAAAGAAAGAAAAAAAATGTAAAAGGAAAAAGGCAAGAGCTGAAGTCAGGCTGAGCTAGTTGCTGCCAGAGTCACGTGGATGACTCTGCTTAGTGCTTAACTGTCTAAAAAAGCCTCTAAAAAAGTGCCCTCTACAGGAGGCGGCAGGGGAACGACGTACCTCATCTAGTCTGACTTTAGCCGTTTTATGATCACTCGAGCAGAGTTAAGCAAGGGTTAAAAGCTAAAAATTCCTGATGTAGGTGAGACCTCCTGCCTCCTCCTGTAGAGGGCACTTTTTTAGAGGCTTTTTTACACAGTTAAGCACTAAGCAGAATCATCCACCGTGACTCTGGCAGCAACTAGCTCAGCCTGACTTCAGCTCTTACCTTTTTCCTTAATTTTTTTTTCTTTTCATGATGACAGTGGTGAGGCCCTGCCTCCCCTGACTGCATGTCTCTGATTGTTTAATATAATATGTTCAGAATGTTGCAACCTCCTGAACTTATATCTAAAAGTATTTATGTTGTGTGTGTGTGTGTATATATATATATATATATATATATATATATATATA